ACGGAGAGAAGACAGAGGGGCAACAGGAGAGCTTGCCCTGCACCACGCAAACTCTCAATCACGCGCGTGCTCTGATATTGGAGACCTCCGTTGCTTTTACGGTGGCAAGAAAAGCAACGACCTGGTGATGGCATGAAATTGCGAGGCAGTCACTCTCTGCACACTGACTTCGGCAACTGGAAGGAACTGATTTGGAAATGGCCCTTTGGCATGGAGAGGGCAGGAGGTCCTGTCAACTGCTTCTCGCCGCATTCCTCTCGGACTTCCGGGTCGAAGTTTCTGTCTACCGCTCCTGAATGGAACTCACGGGTCAGGCACAGCAAAAACCCTTGGCACATGCTGATAAAGAAAGAAAAAGGAATGAAGGAGGAAGAAGAGTTCAAGAGTATTCAAGAGGTAATGACAGGTACAACCAGCCTCGTATGCAGGTTATGGCCTGCCTAGGGTGGGGTGATCTTCGGGACTTACATTTGGCATAAAATGTCTGAGTCCTGGAAGTGCGTACAGAATCATAGGTGTTCAGAACCCTAAAGCATTCTAAAGCCAGGACTACTACAAAATAGGGTTGCAGGGGTACCCTCTTGGGGTGCATTGTGCAAACATAATCAAACCTGAGGGGCGTTGAAACCGGTTGCAAACATGGTCACAAAGCATGATCTCAGGCTCAAAAGCACCGCTTTTCTACCATTTTGTCAGCCATCCATCATTTTCAGCACTCATTCCAAAACATAGGATCTCTACAACATGGGATTCCTGGGTCTCAGATTTCTTAGCCCACAAGGCTATGAAAAAAGATGACCACCACGCTTAATTGAAAAAAGATAGCTGGGCGGCGGCGTAAACTTTCTCAAAAGCATTAGTCAATTGGGGTGTCATTTCCAAATAGGATTGGAAAGCCAGAAGTAAATCAAAGCACCAACCAAATATAAGTTTAAGGTATATAAGCGTTGGGTTGTAAAGGATCTATGACCATTAAATCTGTAGAGGAAATGTGGATCTTTTTTGGAATTTGAGTTCCACAGCTGTTTTAACTGACTGCCAAAAGAGCTTGTGACAACACGATCGGTCACCCCGTGCAATCCTGGCTCACCCACTAAAATCAGCGATTCTACTGTTGCTTTTGCGCGCTCAAGTCTTCCGACCACCGAAGACTTGAAACCAAATTCGTCGGTCAGGTCATGGTCCAAGCGGCACATAGGCAGCAGTCAAAAGCTCGATGAAGGTCGCCGAAAAGTTGCCCCTCGAAGCATTCACCGCCACCGGCGATTCCTCGTGAGTCCAACCAAAAGGTACAGTGGGAAGAAATTTCTGGAGTGTTGAGAGATCCCAGATGTTCTTCAAAGTGACCGCAGAACTCAGCCACCCATATGCCCTCCCTCAAAGTTCCCTGTCAGCGCCCTAAAAAATGTAGATGCAAATTGGCAGGTCTGTCTCAAGCACCATCTTTGAAAAAGTGTTTCAACTGCTCATTGCAGCCTTGCATCGTCTTCCCCGGGAAGCGATGCCACTAGTTTCCCCTGTCCGAAGAGATCCCAGCGTGTCAAGAAGGGATCCCAGCTCAAGGTCCAATTCTCAGTTGCAAGGGAATTGTTCAAGAGCTGAGGATTTCCGAGACTCGGGATGAACGTCTTCACATAGCTCGGGGCACCAGTGGTATCCATGCCACTGGGGCAGTAGTAGCCCTCAAAGTCCTGTCCGACATCACGACCAAGGACCAACCCCCTTTTCAGGACCTAACCCTCTTTTAGGAAGAATCAACAAGCCAGCAGTCTCCCAATGGGAAGGGGTGGTGTTAATAAGTGTGTTCCGCTTTTTTGTTCGGACTTTTTCAATACAGGAACATTGGGGCTCATATTTCAGTTGTTGTTTAAAAAGCAGCTTTGATGTCCTGTTGTGACTCTCTGCTTGCGTGCTTGTTGAGGTTTCCTTTCTTGATCCTTAGTCAGATTTCGTGGCTGGCAGGAAATCGGAGAGGCTGCAGATTTTGTGGCACAAGTGAGGAGGGCGCAGCGCATCCCCCCAAAGAACACATAAATTATTTTAACAAGCCACTCTGAACCTCTGGAAGCCAGTCAACAGTAGCCAAGAGAAGCTGCCGAAAGCAAGCAAAAACTATAACAGAAGCAAAGCCACAAAGAAGCTGTAAAGTCTTCCGAGCTGGCCCTTGCATCAACACAGCTCTGACCACAGCGGCCACTGCAAGCAGCACAGTCTTTCGAGCTGGACAAGAGCAAAAATTAACAAAAAAAATGCTACATAAAAGACACAAAAGCAAAACAAAACACCAAAAACAACAAAACTGCACAACAAAACATGAAACAGCAATAAAGTAACAAAAATGCTTCACCAAAGAATAAACCAACAAAGGCGAAGCAAACCGGGAAACACACATTATGTAAACCAACAACAACAACAACAACAACAACAACGACAACGACAACGACAACGACAACGACAACGACAACGACAACAACAAATCACCCAATGGGAAGCCAAAGAGGCAACTGATTAACTCACAGTTTCCGAACCTTCAGCATTCCTTTCAGCTTCGGTTAGACAAGGACCGTGGTTTGTGGTATCCACCGGTCCTGATAAGTCCGATGCCGCCGGGGCGTTGATGTCAAAGCCATGCCCATACGCCTGGCGATAGCCCCACGAGCCAAAAAATGTGGTTGGAAAATGATGAACATCGAATCAACATTGAATCAATAGCCCATGCCCTAGCATACCGGTAGCCTCCATACCTAGCATACCGAATAATTTCCCAAGGTATGGGCTATTGAATCAACCTGTTCTACCAATCACGAAACTTTTTGACTACTTTGTTCCAACCTCTGCAGCTTGCAGCAGCCAAGCTTGAACTGGTTGGAGTCGAAGGCCACACTCGCCACAATCCCTCCCCCTTGGCAAGAGGAGGCCGTTGGATTCTGGCAGGATGATAGCAGCGCTGTCGAACGGCAGAACAAGCGCAAGCCTGTTTTGTTTTGGGGGCCACCGTAGGACCCCTTCTCCAAACCCTTCACAGGAGTTCCAGGCAAGTTGTACCAGCCGCTCACTGCTGTACCATCAGGGCAACTCATGGAACCTGAGAAGGCATAGAAGACCTTTTCCTCAGGGGACCATTCTGACACGCCGAATCATCATACAAACCCTCTTGAGAAAGCTGGAGAGCCATTCAGGTTCGCAATGTGTTTGCGCATGCGGCTCCCTCCCAAAAAAGATAGCTTTCACGGGGACAGGGCGGAGTCAAAACTGAAAACCAATGGAAAAGCTTGTGCTCACTGGGCCAACTTGAGCTGACACTTTCGTTTGTTCCGTTCCTGCCAGAACTAGTGTGACCGTACCTGCTAGTGCTAGGCTTCCAGGGCTCTACCAGTGTGCAAACTCTACCAGCCTCTTCTCGTATTCTGCTAGTCTTTAAGCAAGAACTGTGCGTCTTCGTGTTCGACATATGTCATATGTCTGTTTTGATCAGTTTTGCCATGTATAGTTGCTGTGACCATCTGCTGCCGGTGGGGCCAACATCATTAACATGCCTCAACCACTCCTCCGAGGCGTCCACAAACAGACAATAGGGCATGGTCGAACTTCCGGATGCAACCACAGCCCCTGGTGGGCAAGTGAGACCCCAAGGGGCGCCGTTGGGCTGCAGGCTGATGAATCCTTAAAGAATCCAAGACCACGCTGGTGAAACTACTTCGTCTCAAGCAAAACCCTTCCTATACGAAGCAAAAACCGAGCGACGGTCAAAGCGTGTGATATTTGGACTCGTAAGGATTTGTTTTGCACGGGCACTTTCACAATGCTCACGCGCCTCAGGTTTTAAATACCTGACACCAAGGTATCTGTTTGGAGCTTACGCGGGATTACACTGGAGCGGCGGCTTACGCGCAGGTTGTTTGCAACTGCAAACGATGCCCGACTTTGCCTACGAAACGCTCTCGAAAACTTGTTGTGCGAGTTTTACGCGACCCAGTGTTTGGCCAACGCGAGCCAGGTTCTCTTTGACACAACTCTTCATCTCTTGACTCATGACTGATCTTTTGACCCTTGCTCAACCAACTGATGGAACATGATGGAACTACACTGATGGATTCTCCGTTTGAAAAAAATATATACGAGTCAGCCAGGACTCCCACGACCTCTGCAAACGCTGATGTTGGACCTGTGTAGTTGAAAGGCGGCAAGTGCGGATCCCCAAACTGTGTGGCATGATAGGCCAATCGAAGGATCTGGCTGAGCTGCTGCATCGTCATGCCCCCCTGGGCCGTGTTGACCGCAATGCTGGGGTCGACATGTCCAGTCGCTTCCATCCTCAAGTCTGGCTGCAACACTCTTCTGATAAGCTGCGCAATCAGAAATGAAATTCTCAATGTGACTTCGTCCGAGGGTCAGCACAGGACAACTTTTCTGAATGATCAAAGTCTGGAAATGGTCTGCAAACCTTGGCTATCTCAACAGTCAAGAGAGCCGAACAACTGATTGTTGACCCTGAAAGTGACGCCCAACAAACACCACGATGATAAGGACTGCTTGCATGAACCTTGCCGGCAAAAGCTCATTGTCAACAGTTGCAACCACGGAACAAGCTAGTTGATTGTGACAAATCACTTGCCTTCACTGCGATATTTTCGGCACATAAAGTTGAGCGGTTGCCATCCAGCATAGGCCCCTCTGCATGGCCTGAGCGACGGAGCAGTGCACTGCAGGTGCACCGAAGGCAAAGTGTTGTTCGTGATTTTCCCTGCTCAAACCAGATGTTCTTGGAAAATTCCCTATCCGAACTGCAACGCCCTGCCTGGCAAACAAGCGAAGAGGACCTTGCTGGCATCATAAGTGGTGACGTGGATTCCTGGAGCTCTTGTATAACCAGCCTTTTCCTTCACAGAAAGGGAAGCGAAGCCAGGAATCGACAGGTTGAGACCTTGGGCATCTGCATTGGGATCGGGATTCTCGTGCATGGCGACTGACAGAGAAGCTTCACAGCCTCCTAGTTCTGTTCACGTGGAGGCGTTTGAGTGAGCGCCGATCTTCTCCAAGCTCCAAGTTTCGGTCCAAACGTACACATCACTGTCGCTCATGCATTCCTCTGAATCAGCAAGGAAAAGGTTCACTTAAGGTCCAAACACTTGCAGGCAATGACTCGCCACAGAAAAACCATCCCGTGAACTCAACGGTGAACATGTTGTTTTTTCAATGGGTCCCGGAATTAATTTTGGATGCGTTTATGTTTCCTATTTTTCTGCGGTTGTTTAATTCTCGTACTCCAATGGTGGCAGGCACAGCACTTTGGGAAGTTCTAAAAAATATGGCGGGCGAAGGGTTTTGTAAGCTGACTTACTCTCAAAAGCGTGATTGTTCATGTCTTGCACTAAATAAACCTATAAGGTCACTCTAAATTTTACCCTCGGGTTGCCCACACAAGGAATGCTGCTGGCATCTTCCTACGCTAAATTTTACCCTCGAGTTGCCCACAAAAGGGATGCTATGTTGCAGTGGCTTCTTCCTACTCCAAATCTTTCCCTCGGATGGCCCACAGAAGGAATGCTACAGTGCAATGGTTCCTTCCTACTCTACATTGCACCCTCGCTTGCCCACAAAAGGGATGCTGCCTCGGACCTACTCTAAATTTTACCCTCGGGTTGCCCACAAAAGGATTGCTACGTTGCAATGGTTCCTTCACGCTTCTTCCTACTCTAAAATTGACCCCCCGGTGGCCCACAAAAGGGACGCTGCCTTGGACTGGCATCTGTGTCCACATTGTAGGCGGACATGCGCGGGTTAGGCTAGTGGTTAGTAGCATGTGTTCTTGTCAGCTTGTGGAAAGATGTCATTGGTAGCTGGTCGGCACCAATGGCAAATGCCTGGTGAGGACTGGCAACCAGGTAGTGGTGGTGGTGGTGGTGGTAGTAGTAGTAGTGGTGGTAGTAGTAGTAGTAGTAGAAGAAGTGGTGGTAGTAGTAATAGTAGTAGTGGTCGTAGTCGTCGTCGTGGTCGTAGTCGTAGTAGTCGTAGTTGTATAGTCGTATAGTCGTAGCCATAGTAGTCGTGTAGTCGTAGTCGTATTCGTCGTCGTCGTCGTGGTAACTGTGGTAAAACTGGTAGTGGTGTGGTCGGAATGATGGAGGCACTGGTAATAGCAGTGGTAGCAGTAACTGTTAAAAAGCGGGAGCGGGTGCCGGGGAGGGCGCAGCGCGTCCCCCGCAATGCAAATCAAATATAGACAGCGCTGGGCTGATTCATTTCTTTTTAAAGATCGTATTGTTTGTTGATCCTGTTCTTTTTTGATCCTGATGCCCGCACAGAAAAGCAGGAAAAGCCAGAAAAGCAGAAGCAGTGCGAAGCAAGGAAAAGCAACACACGCACAGAAAGCGGGAAAAGCAGAGAAGCAAGGAAAAGCAACACACGCACAGAAAGCAGGAAAAGCAGAGAAACAGTGAGAAGCAAGGAAAAGCGACGCGCGCACAGAACAGCAGGAAAAGCCAGAGAAGCAGTGAGAAGCAAGGAAAAGCAAACAAGAAACAACATTACATACCCATCCTTTTCAATGCGTTTAGTACACGTTGGATCAAAGGTGGGTTTGGAGGCCAAGCATGAGCGCAATCCTTTTTCTGATTGCGGAAACACCTGTTGGTTCCATGGGCGTTGGCGTGACAAAGTCAACTGTGCAAGATGGATGGAGTTACTATTTATCACAAATATTGCACATATGTATGCGGCATGCCATACACATTTAATATATATAATATAATATATATATATATATGTACAAACGTAAAATGAAACTATACCCGCATAGACACCCAACAGTTTAGTCGGCGAGAATCGTTGTTGTTGTGGGCGGCCGCAGCCCCAGCCCCTGCTTCGGAAAGCAGCGTAAACTGCATGACAACAGAAAAAGGACCTGGTGAGGAGGACAGCAGAGGACAAAAGGGTGAGGGAAGGAAACCGAAATGAACACACCAAGAGGATGAAAGAAGGAGAGACAACATGACGAGGGCACACGTAGAGGAGAACAAGAGGAGAGCGCAAGCAGCAGGAAAACAAGGAGGACAAGACCTGGACACAGCGTTCAGGCGCGCACCCAGCCACTGTGCCCAACTCCTTTTTCCTCAGGCCTTTGGTGAAATACACACACAGGTGTGCAAACTTGTAAGCCACACTACAATATGCTTTGTTTTCATGGCAACTGTTTCATCCTTCATGACCTTATCTACCTTCTCTCCTTGGACCTAAAGCTATGACTGAAGTCTGTATCAGTCAATGAAAGACCACTTCCAGAAAATCTTGGTTGGATTATCTACCCAACCCTACCCGACAAACTTGCTTCAACTCCCAAAGATCCGCCCCCCATAGACCCCCTATTCCTAACTTGCAGAAATTTGCTCCTTGGTGATGAAAAAAGTTAGCGCGCAAGGATTTACTTGTTGGGACCCTCCTCATGGAGAGATTTGTCTTTGGGACCCCTCCCCATGAAAAGAACAGTCTTTGGGTTATGTCGTGAAGAGAGTTTTGCCGGCGGTGTGCCGCTGCTGCCTTGTCTCCCCACTCGGCCCCACTTGTCTCGTTACATGTCTCTTCAGTCGCAGTTTTGGTTTGCCGCTGCTGCCTATGCCCACTTGTCTCCTTACATGTTTCCCCAGTTGGTCGCCCGTGTGATCGCCGTGTGGTCTGCCGCTGTTACCTTGTCTCCTCACTTGTCTGCCTGTCTCCTGCGCCTGTTTGTCAAAGTGGCCGGCGTTTTGTTTGTCGCTGTCTCCTTGCATGTCCCCCGACTTGTCTGCCTGTCTGTTTGGCGCTGCCTTGTCTCCTTACTTGTTCCCCCACTTGTTTCTGCACTTGTTTTGTTTGATCAGCGTTTTTGTTGCCACTGTACCTTGTCTCCTGACTTGTTTCCCCGGAACAACTCTTGTCTTATTTGGTTGCAGCTACCAGGCGCTTGTGTCTGTAGAACTAGTTTGGCTTTAGGCCACTTGGCGCCACGAGTGGTACTTCAGTGCGACGCAATGGCCTTCAAGAAGGTCTCCAAGATTAGTCCGGAGAAGTTGAAATCCAAGGCGGGAAGTGGGGAGGCAAGGCAGTGGCTACACCGCAAATCAGCCACTGGAGGGCGTTGGCGAAAGTGACCTGGTAGCCGGTTGTAGTGAGGCGGCGGCTATTGGTGGTAGAGATCCCGAGGATAGGACAAGGCTGAATAGCCGATGAATAAACACATGCTGTAGGCAGTAAAACCGTCGAAGGTGTTTCCTGCTGCAGCATATGTAGTGATGGACGCAAATGCCCAGTCTCAGAAAGATCATTGTCTAATTTCCACCGTGCGAAAGCAATTCGGACGCAAAACAAAAATATGTTACAAGTAAGATCAAAAAATTGAGAAAATGAGATTTTCTTGGCGAGACAAATTCAGTGAGTACATTACAGTAACTCTGCAGCATAAATTCAGTATCAGTGGGTGAAACGCATTCAGAGTTGATTCGAGCTAGACAATTCTGCTAAATAAGCTGGTCCTCAAGAGGACATTCAGGAGATTCTCTCCTAAGTAGAAGTAAAGACTCAGTAACGGCATGCCTGTCCAGGATCACACATCTCGGTACTCATTAGCCAGTAATATCTAATGACAGCATACCACTGAAGCGCTGAAGACCTGAACCTAGCAATGGCCCTGAGCGCAACGGAAAGGCGAAAACTCCGCAACAATATAGTTTAAAACATCGAGAGGAAACTTTAAAAATTGCAGGCGCACGGAAGTGATTAGCTTCCGCTTCCATTTGCAACGGGTTTCCTTGCGCAGAGCTTTGCAAGTCCTCTCTGCCCTTCTGCAAGTGACTGCACAATGAAAACGAACCTAAAAGCAACCCTAACAGGCCTGAAAGAAGACCTAACAAACGAAGGAGAGCAAGGAGAGAAAAGAGGGGTGTGGGACGTAGAATTTGAATACATTAGCAGCGTGACATGTCATTCTGTGAATAGTCTCAGTAGGCCCTGCGGCATTCGAACAGCAATCTCAAGAAAGGACGAGGAACCATGAAGAACCGCCCGTAGGTTGGAGGTCAGCACAAGTAGGTTGGAGGCCGTCGTAATAGGTGTGACACGCTTGAAAAATGCAGATTGTAGAGTTTGTTGCACGACAATTGGGATGTGAGTGGTATCGAGAGTGCGCTGTTGTGGGTGGTGGATGTAGTGGCGGCCAATGTGTGAGCGCTGAATAGGGTTGCCTGTTGATCGAATTTCAATGGTGAGTGTAGTGGTCGCGTGTTTTAAGTGCTAGCGGTCGCAAACGCTGATGACTGCATCTACGAGTCGTTGTTGTGGAACGCTGTTCTTCAACACGCCCCCTGCTTGGGGCGGCAAAACCTAAGGCGCTAAACAGAATAAGACATGAGAAGAAGACGAGACAAGACGAGCGTGCGCGGTTGCAATGAAGGGGAGCCAAGTGAACAGGGACAAACATTAATCATACCTCTTTATCAAGACCTGGGCGACCTCAAACCTGGGTTAAATGTAGATGTGCGAGTACACACTAAGGGCCGGACCGATGCGTGCGCAAAACATGGAATAGAGTGAGATGACAGGACATGAAGGTGGAGAAGACATGAAACGAAAAGGGAAAGAAAGTGTGGGCAAAGGGGAAAAGATGAAAGGGCAACCAAGTGGAAGGGCCGGAAAACAATGAAGCCAACCTCATTAAAGCGGACCTGGGGGAATCTAGCCTGGTTTGAGTACGCGCGAACTATACCTAAGGTGGGGACAGGCCCCAACAAGCCTTGCGGCGGCTGCGGCGGCCTTCTCTGGGCATTCAGCCTGCTCTTGCCCGCTGCGGACTACTAGCCAAAGTGGCGGCCTCAAGCTCCATCAAAGCCATCAAGTCTTAACTTACCTTTGCGCTAAGGCTCCTTCTTCCGGACTCTCATGAAGGAGAGACACACTTGGAATATTGCGTATTAAGTCCTCAAATTCCAAAGGCGTCGAAAACCCGAACGGCGAGCACTTGTCTGCAGAACTCATTAGCACTCGTCAGGAGAGTGGAGTCACAGCTTGGTCAACAGTTCAAAAGGAACGTCGTCGGTGAGCGTCCCCACCGATATCA